CCCCAGCACCACCCCTGGGACCCACACGATGGCTGGACTGGGAGGGGTTGCAGGATCGGGCCCTGCCCGGCTTTCTCATCCGTCAGGGCTCCATATTCCATATAGTAGGAGAGGGGAATCCAGAACGGGGGGTCTAAGCCAAAGAAGGGGGGACTGAAGGGTGTCCAATATTGACCCCTTTGGGCGTAGTGGTGTCCCACCCCTTCACCTCACAAAGCAGTCCAGCACAACAACCACCCAGCCCCCGCCACTTGGGTCGGCCTGGCACGACTCCAGCCTTGGCAATGCAGAACAGGTAGGTGTCCCTGGCCAGCCCCAACATCAGCAGATCCAAATTGGCCAGCCCCCGCCACTTGGGTCGGCCTGGTGCGACTCCAGCCTTGGCAATGCAGAACAGGTAGGTGTCCCTGGCCAGCCCCAACATCAGCAGATCCAAATTGGCCTGAATAGGCCAGCAGGAACTTTCCACACACACACACACACACCCTGTAGCATCAGAGCAGCCCAGGCAGTTAACCGGTTAAATGTTAACATTTTAGCTGTTTATCCAGTTAACCGTTTAAACGCTCTTGTACATCCTACTTGGCACCTACATTTTTGCAGCAGCAATCCCTTAAGTGCCCATGATTCTGCTTCTAGACGGGCACTGCTGCCAGGCTCCCCCCTCCCACCCATTTCTTGCCCACTCCTTAGCACAAGCCTGAGTCGAGGGCAGGCAGCTGCTCCTCAGCTTGCCTTGCCTTCAGGGCTTGATTCAGCAGGTCAATTCAGAGGCAGAGCAGCAGAGCTGGGCCTGTCCAAATTTAGAGGCACCTCATCACATTGAGCCCAGTGATGAAGCGCTCACCTGCAGTCTGAAGAGAGACCCACTCCAGCACTGGCACCCGGGGAAGGGGGAGCTGTGGGGAGACAAGCTGCGGTGGGGGGAGGGGTTGCCAACTTCCATGGACCAGATGGACTGGACGACATTGGCTGCAACGGCATCTGGTCCGGGAGAGCTGGCAACCCTGGGGGGGGGCGGGGCAGGGAGGGTGGGCCCAAGGGG